CCTGTAGTATGCCAGTCAAAACTGCAGGCGGGACGTCAATGCAGATTTACGGTAAATTTCAAACCGATTTCTCAGTAAAAGATCGACATACAGGAAAGATGGTTCATGGAAAGGGCACATGCTACGTCACCGAAGCTCGAACTTACTTGGATTGGAGTGGTGTATTCAGCTGCCGGCATACAAGAAGCTAAAGGACAACTACCACTGCAGGAAGGTGACTACCGAAGAAAAATTTCGAGCCGAAGTGGTCGCCGACTTGAAGACGAAGCATGGAAAAGTCTTCAACACCGACCTAGGAAAGTGCATGAAGAGTAAGGGCATCAACAGAGACATCAAGGACTCAGTGCGCCGCTATAGGGCATGTCAAAAAGCAGCCAAGATGCCAGTGAAGACTGTACTGCATTCATGGAAAATGGAAGAAAAACCATGGAATCGGCTTCACATTAACTATGCAGGGCCGCTGAATGGCAAGGTGTATCTCGTCGTAGTTGACGCTTACTCGAAATGGCCAGAAGTATTTGAGATGCCTTCATCGTCAACTACAGCTACTTTGAAGGAACTCAGATCTCTATTCGCAAGATTCGGGAATCCGCGAGTAATCGTGTCGGATAACGGAACTCAGTTCACAGCAAAGGAGTTTTAAAACTTTTGTGAAGAGCGAGGAATCCAGCACATGCGTTCGCCCCCATTCCATCCACAATCAAATGGACAAGCGGAAAGGTTTGTGGATATCTTCAAGAGATCCCTCCAGAAAATTAAGGAGGGAGGAACGACAGAGAAGCTTGCCGAGTTCCTGCAGTCGTATCGACGAACGCCTTGTACAACTGCTCCAGGACAACGTTCACCTGCCGAACTGCTGCTGGGACGTCAGATAAGGACACCGCTGTCGCTGTTGAATGAAGATTCCAAAGAAGAAGGAAAGGTGGGCAACCAAACCATGGAGAAGCAGTTTAACCGCCACCATGGAACACGAAGGAAAGCGTACCAGCCAGAAGAAGCCGTGTGGGTACGTGATTTTCGCTCTGGATGTGAAAAATGGATTCCAGCACGAGTGAAGAAACGCTATGGAGAAGCGCTCTATGACGTGCTTACGGAAGATGGCCAGTTATGGAGACGTCTGCGAACCAGATGCGCCGCGCCGCAAGTATGGATCGACATCATGACTCAACACCGTCCATCCCCGACGAAGGCCGATATAACAATGGTATGGATGCTGCTGAACACCAAGCATCTCGTCTACGCCGCCGACTTCAACCAGACCAAGTCGCCATCGTCGCCCACCAGAACGTCTAAGAGTAGATCCTTATTGTAGGATGTACCGCTGTTCATCTTAGGAGGGAGGTGTTATAGAGCCGTCCCTTATATTGGAACTTGCTCGCTCACTATAGGCTAGGTCGATATGGTCTCTGTGGTTGCGGCGTACCCGCCGCAACTTTGATATATTTGTGTGTTGTTCTCTAGCTATTCCTAGTGAACCCTCGGCATGTACGCCGATAGGCAGAGGTGGAACTTTTGTGTTTTTTTAAGAAATCGTCAACGACTCAACGCGTTCTACTAGATTACTCATCAATTTTCAGCTTCTGAATCCTATATGTTGGGTGAGGGAACTTAGCTCCCCTGACAGCCAACTGAGATGTAATCTCGGAGGTCATGAGTTGTCAATAACGATAATTAACTCTGCGGAGCGCATGCTAGGCCCCGCCTCTATCCAGATACCTTTCGCAACCTAGCAGAGGTCCACCAGGACGCGCCCCGTGATAATGAAACGGGGATTTCAAACGAAATCGAAATGCAAAGTTCAGTATCGAAATTTCGCCAAACAAAGTGAAAACTTGGATTTAGGGGTTTTCAAGTACGCTCTTTTCAAATATGGAAATCCCATCTGCCTCAAAGCTCACCACGGATCGCTTACTAAGAATGAAACAGGGAATTTCATACAAATTGCATTTAAAAATTCAGTATTGAAGTTTCACCAAACAAAGTGAAAACTTAGACTTAGGGGTTTTCAAGTACGCTCTTTTCAAATATGGAAATCCCATCTGCCTCAAAGCTCACCACGGATCGCTTACTAAGAATGAAACAGGGAATTTCATACAAATTGCATTTAAAAATTCAGTATTGAAGTTCACCAAACAAAGTGAAAACTTAGACTTAGGGGTTTTCAAGTACGCTCTTTTCAAATATGTAGAGAATTTTTTCATAAGAACATGTACAAGGTTTGTAAAAAAAATTCAATTTTTTGTATCAAATTTCAACCAATTCAAAAAAAACACAAACAGATTTTACAAAGGCTGGAATTTCAGTTGAGATTGTATTTATGAAATAAGGAGTTTAATCGATAATTTTTACCTGGGATTCCGATGGCAATGATAGGCTGGAATCCACACTTAGATAGAATTGCTGCATAGATTGCAGCATTTGTAAGTTGAAAAAGCTATCATACGACATGATAAGATTATCTGCACGATAAGTGACTTGATTGTCAAATCCTTCTGCTATTTATACGAAAACTGTCGCCTGAATCAGCCTTTTCAGCCTTTCTTTGGCATAAAATCGCCTAATTTCACGTTTTTAACCTTGTTTTGCCATGAGTAACTGCTCATTGCTACAGGCAGTAAGATCGGATTCCTGTTCACACCTCAAATTATTGTCCATGGCTGGACGAACTGTGATCATGGTATCTCTTTGTCCATGGCTGGACTAACTGTGATCATGGTATCTCTATGTCTTTGTTCTCCATTATCACTTACCTGAGCATAATTTTGTTTTCATGGAATTTGCCACTGTAAAAATTTTGATACTCGGAACGGTGAAGCATCAAAATAATTCCACTAGCGAATACGATGAAATTCTCTGATATCTACGACATGTTTTTTTGAATTGGTTGAAATTTGATACAAAAAAAATTGAATTTTTTTTACAAACCTTGTACATGTTCTTATGAAAAAATTCTCTACATATTTGGAAAGAGCGTACTTGAAAACCCCTAAGTCCAAGTTTTCACTTTGTTTGGTGAAACTGCAATACTGAATTTTCAAATGCAATTTGTATGAAATTCCCTGTTTCATTCTTAGTAAGCGGTCCGTGGTGAGCTTTGAGGCAGATGGGGTTTCCATATTTGAAAAGAGCGTACTTGAGAACCCCCAAATCCAAGTTTTCACTTTGTTTGGCGGAATTTCGATACTGAACTTTGCATTTCAATTTCGTTTGAAATTCCCGTTTCATTATCACGGGGCGCGTCCTGGTGGACCTCTGCTAGGTTGAGAAAGGTATCTGGATAGAGGCGGGGCCTAGCATGCGCTCCGCAGATGTGTTAATTATCGTTATTGACAACTCATGACCTCCGAAATTACATCTCTGTTGGCTGTCAGGGGACCTAAGTTCCGTTCCCCCTATATGTTAGTCCTTTACTCGAAACTTTTGTTTTTGGAATTCGGTTTTTATTCGACATTTTTTAATTCAAGTTGATCCGATCTCCATTCGATAAAAATCGCTCCTTGTCTAAAGTTTTGTAGTTTAAACTTTAGATTCTTCTTTACATTCCTTAGATTTAGATTTTTAAGGAGCTCCTTAATATACGTTTCTAGAAGTATCACCGCACTACACAGCAGAACAATGTTGGACTGTCTGACCTCATTCGTGGTGAAAGAAACTCCTAAAGACTGATGTGCCATCCCCGGTGGTGGTTTTTGGTGTAGTCCCTTTCTGAAAAGAAAACTAGTTTGCATGCAGCAACGTGCTTTGCCTTTACCATAGTTGGTAGGCTGATAGCACCCGGTGTTAAAATGCCAAGCCTCTGAATAAATCCTGAGCGCACTGTCATCAGCACCGCCATCTTCTACTACAACTGCAGTGTCCTCTAATCAAAATAGACATGTCACTCAAGAAAAACCTCGGAAACATAGAATAGAGACACTTGTGCAAAATGACTACAAGCAAGAGTACTTTTATTTGTGTGGACCTTTACGGACCAAAGGCTTGAAAAACACAAAAACACACTCAGCGTGTGGACTCGGACCATGAGCTTCAATTCGCTAGCTATTTTTTTGCTGCTTTGATGTCAAAAGCTGTGCGAACAATCTGATTGATCGGAAAAGCGATTAGTCTAAATCCACATTCATGTAGTTGAGGAATGCGAGTTCCCATAAAGGTCAAAGCGATCACAGGCTTGAAAAGGTGCATTATCGAGTTTTGCAAAAAAACGAAGAGACCTTGATGACTCAGGAATTGGCGCTGCACCAAACTCAAATAAATCGAATGCGATTTCATTAGAATATGATTGAATATAACTTTTCAATAAAATTCATTCGAAACCCCGCTTTTTGATTATTCGATTTCGAATGTTATTCAAAACATCGTTTTTTGATTTATCGTGTTTTTGAAATTTATTCAAAAATGGAAAATTGTGAGTTTCGAATTTCGAATACGAACATATTCGAATGTATTCGTATGATCGACTTTTTATTCGATTACAACCCAAGTGTAGTGAACAGAAATGAGTAAGTGACCCTTTGAAAGAAGACGAAAACCTGCATCAATGCGCCAAAATTCCTCTAAGGACGTTTGTTCTGTGAATCTTATGCTCGTATGAAAAAAGCGAAATTACTTTCGGAGTAACTTGATGTTTTGACAGGAAAGAAATCAGCTTGAAACATATGAATTCAAATAAGCCTTCTACTCTTTGTAGCTTGCAAAAATTTAGCCCTATTGTCCCGTCACAGCTTGCTGACCGTCCAAGGAAGTGTATATGATTACTTGTTGAGCAAGCATAACTTTGTGAAATAAAGTTTCAGTCAGACTTACATAATCATGTGGAGAAAAAACTGCAAAAAAAACCCTTTACTTAGTAGTAAGCAATATAAACATCGTGTTTGTGGCTTCGCCACTCTAAACTATAACGTTTGATACAATTTGAGGATATGCAGAAGTCCAAGGTTTCTGAAGTTGCTGTTATTCGACCATAATCTGCTCCATATTCTTTATACTAAACATATAGCTACTCAGAAAAAAAGATGAGCCGAAAATTGCAAAAACTTCTCACTGAAGATGCAGAGCACATCCACTCCTGTCGTACTCTTACGATCATTTTCAACAAGTTGCAGACCGCAAGCATAAAAGGCTACTGAATCGCAGCTCTGCACACAGGGCCATGATTGAAGCATTAGCAGATGTAATATGAATTACCTGCAATGTAGAAAGTATAAAATCTCTTCCAGACATAAAAGAGCGCTCCACTTTTTCTTCATTGGTTTCGTTCTCGTTCGGGTGATTGCTGGAAAGTGAGAGTCAAGAGCAGAATAGCTTGCATTCCTGCCAATACTTACCTCCGCCAGCTAAGGGTGCATAATTCTTTTGGTATCGCACTAGGATGCTGCATATATTGCGAAACTATGGGCTCCATGGTGCAACCGTATGTCTAAAACAGTGATGTAATCTAGTACGAAAAAACTAGCTAGCCTGGTCGACGAAACACCTTGAACTTACCGCAAAAAAGCGATGCAGTTTTTCGAGCGCTGGACAGATATATTTTTGTGCTACAAGGCGCCAATTGGATGTTTTCGTCGGTGCATTCTCTGTGCATAACTTGAATTCATCTACAAGAATGGGTTCGGCACCTTGTTTAACATATTTCATTTTCTTACTGCATTCTGCTTTAATAAACCCAACAGATTTTTGTTCAAGTGACATCGTCAGGTCGTCTTCCTTTTGCGCGCCGTACCCGTCGTAGTCCGTTTCAAAAGTAGCCATAGCGACCTTGAAACTGCTTTATCAAAATCGAAAGGGAATAAGTGGGGAAGCTCACCATTAGTACTGAAAGTGCTGCAAGAAGCATGACTAGCAGGAATCGCTGACACTGGAACGCTAGGGACTTTTATGTATCAAGAACATAAAAAGTAAGAGCTGCAGGGATTGCAACCCATTATTGTACTCTTTTCAATACACAGAACAGCCTGTGAGTGTAGAGGATAACCGAACAAAGCAAGCATGTACTTTAATCCACCAATTTTGTGCCATTATGGCCCGTTATACAACAATGCACCACAAATAAACATACGGGATCTGATCTTCCAGTTTTCTCTCCATTCAAACGGATGATTAAACTTTAACCGATCTATGTTGCAAATAAAGATTTTTAAATGTTTCCTTGGAATGTTCAGGACTTAACTTGGTCTTGATTCCATTTCTCCTTCTGAACACTCAATTTTCCAAACGGCTCACGATTTTTATGCTGTCTCCTGAGCAACTGTTTCCGTTTATACTGTCAAGTAACAGAAATCCATCCCCTAACATAATCATTCCTTCTCGAATGAATAACTGCACCAGTAGGTCGTGCGATAAATTCGCTCTTTTTTCACTCAGTTTTTTGAAAACGGCATTTTTAGAGATTCAATTGACAAAGAGCGAAACAGTGTAGTTATTTGCACTGATATCGACAGTATACAACCTGCTAATTTAACCATCTAACTGCTCACAGTCATATTATTCCCGCATTTCCAATCTCGCGCGCTCAAGTTGAGTGAGCGAGATTGGGGAACACAACATTTGAGGAAATTCTATCATGGCATCGCGAGCGGGTCCGCTCCTCCTGCCAATCGGGTTTTCTATGAAACATTTTCCTTTCTTCTAGAACTGTATTTGAATGTCATTATTCCAAGTTGTTCCTTCCTCTTCAAATGCGAACTTTTGAAAAGTTGCAAAATAAAGTAGTTTAGTGTTACTATTAAGCAATTCTTCGAGGAGAAGCATCATTTTCACATGCTTCTTTCCGAGCTTGCCCGCAAATTCTGGTTGCTTCGAGTACCAAAGTACAATCGGGGCTCACACAAGTGGCCTAAAGGACAGGCTGGATATCTTTTTGGGGGTAACAAGCACATGAGGTATCGTTTTTGCAAGTATGAGCGGAGAAGAGACGCAAGACATGCCATTGCCGTGCAGGCAGCACGCTCTAAGCTTTATAGGATACCGCTCACAGCGGTATCCTATAAAGTTTTTACAACCAACGCAATGATATGGCACCAAACTTGATGTGTGGGTGCGCATTAGAGAGTTGGAACCATGTGTAAAAAATTACGAAGAACTTATTTGAAGTGAATCCGTGGCAAAAATTTTTCAGAGTTAGCTGGTTTACGGCCAGCTGGACTGCCGCCTGAAGTGACCGTAGAAAAACAAATTTTTCCCCCTCGCGTACTTCCTTTCAAACTTTCTACATGAATCTGCTCTACATCGCCTTAGCTATCTATGCATTCTTGATTTGCCGCAAATATGCTCTTCTCCGCTTAGTTACAGCCCCCAAAGTTTTTAAATGAGTGCAGCAATGCTGCTCTAAGCGCGCGGTGGTGCGCGGCGTACACAGCATACCGCCAAAGCAATCCATTCGAACGGCACGGGTAATTTTTCAAGTTTGAGGTGTCAGTGTTCTATCTAATTTTATGTCCCTTTTTTCTGTGACCACACCATAGGGCATGCCGTAGAAGCGCTGTGAAGTCAAGGAAGATTTCTTATGTTGAGAACTGCTAGGGCCACCTCGTAGAGCCTTGAGTCAAAAAGGACAAAAATGTTCTATTTAAATATGTTGCTAAGGCTGGATGTTATAAAAAAAATCTCTGAGCAATTTTATATGATTTTGAAATTTTTGATGCAAGACTTATGTTACAGTCTGATAGTTTGCTCTTCTATCCTAGAAGATCGAAATCCAATGTGATTGAACTGTCATAAAAAATATTTATAAAAAGATAAAAACTTTTCTTTTCATAGTGGCTAAAGAGAACACCTCTTTCTGTTTTGCGCTGCAGCTGCCAAAGTGCAAGATTTTTTCTCATTGATAGTAGGCTTCCCTTCAGAAAATGAATGGAAAACTGTTTTTGTTTCGAGTTGCTTCCTCTCACCTTCTTCCTACTCAACTTCAACAGAATTTATTTTAGGATGCAATCTTCATATAAATTAATAGTTGCGAGACCATTTGATATCCTTGAAAAATATGATTTTAAGATATATTTGTAAATGATTATGAATACAAACTCTCGTACAAATGTGTTGACATCAATTTAGTCGCATTCTAACATTTTTATTGTGAAAAGTGCAACAAAATTCGTTCAGCATGTAGCTGAAATATTACTCTGCATTCAGTTGTAATTCTAATTTCGGGGGAAAGGGGGGGGGGGTGTCTGTAATTTAGTTAGACTTATCGTGATTTCATTGCCATTAACTCAAATTCAATAGCTTGAAGGTAAGTCACTGTTGGCTTAGAAGATAAGAATTTTAATCCACATCTTAAATAACAACCATATTTCTGATCAGGAAAAGTTACAGCCAAGTTGCTCCACCCATGTCGAACACAAATATCCAACATAAGGAACTCAGCATACGCTCAAAGATTTGCTAGCTGCAGAAAATAGTAACACCGCAAAGTACCAGGTTGGAAAGCGAAGGATGTCGCTTTTTCCGGGTTTTTTTCAGCTTAGCTAAAATTGGTATTTTTCAGGGACCAGAGCATATCAGTGCCTAAATTCCATAATTAAAGTGTCAAACGCTTGTAGTGCACAATTGCATACACGGGCGGAGCCAAGGAGAGTTAGAGGTGGAGCTTGCTATTTTTCATTTCTCAATTTTTTCCTGATTTTCAATCGCAAAAAAATACGGCAAGTTCGCAAATGTATAAATGCAACATCTGCTACATGCTGGAGCAAGTGAGAGTTTTGTGTGATTTTTTGGAGCGAAGATCCAATTTTTGGCACTATGAGTTGCTCTTGTGTTAATGTCCAGATTTCATCTTGTAGAACATGCTTTGCTCTAACGAATGATACCCTCTACATATTTTTTTCAATCTGTCATATTGCTCTGCTGTAAAAAACAACATTAATTTTTTTTCAACCTAATAATATTATTTTATCAACAATGAAAATTATTTCCCGGAAGTGCACCTTTTTTTCATTGACCCAGCTACTCATGCATAGTTTAAGGTGTCGAACCCTGTAAGGGCCGCTGCACTAACATCCCCACTGGATAGGGTATCGCAGCTCAAAAAGAAAATTTCATATTCTGATGCTCCATACATACCTTCGATACATAGAGCCATGTACTCTGGTAACCTTCACTTTGAGCGTCATGATAGAACACAACCTTCACCTGGGGAGAAGTACAGAAGTCATCCGTGGCGAAGTCCCGGAAATTATGACATAATTAATGACATAACCGTATAGGGATGAATTTAAATGAGGCAAATATAGCAGTGACATTCAAAAGAAGCTCAAAAAACCGAAGGATTGCGTTTTTATGGCCTTTTTTGTTGAGAAGAAGGTTTTTATTTAAACATTCAATCAAAAACTAGGGCAAAATTTCTCAATTACCTTTCTCTGAACTGCGGTTGAATGTTGGAAGTTCACTAAAGCCGCTAGAGTTCAATAAAAACAAAAACTGCGCTCAAATTTTGCGCAAAGAGTCGCCATATGAATGCTGGTCTATCCCGTTATGGAGTGATTTTCAAGACCCGAGACGTTGTCAGTGCTCCTGGCCGTCTCATGAGGATCACAACGATATATAATTTTGCAGGGTTTCGTTGAGACCCTGCGAAGATCCACGACCAGAGCCAAATGCCCCGTCGGCTCTGGTCTGTCTCCGCTGCTCGTCTGCGTCTCCGCGCGCTGCGCGCTACCTCGCTACCTCAAATGCGGGGCGCGGGGCATTTGGCTCTGGTACCCTTTTCTTCGTTGTTCGGAGCCCAATTTTGATAACCTATATATCATATCAAAGCTCTTGATCTCTATTTTCACGCTGACAACGTCGCGGAACTTCTTTTTAGGATTTAAACGAGAAATCCTCGAGAAACGGCGTTTTCGACCTCTTGTTTTTTCTTCAGTTTAACTTTTTCACTCGGTTTTTTTGTGCATTCGATAGGTCTTGTTTCTGTCTATGATGTAGACAACGTCGCCGAGCTTACTTCTTTGCTTATGCCGGTTTTTTCTTTGAAAAATACAAAAAAGTGCGTTTTTCTTTACCTTGTTCTCTTTCTGTGCTTTTGCAGCGAATTTTTTCCAGCTTGGACGATACTTGCGCAGAATGATGAGCGGAAGAATCCAGACAACGTCGCAGCGTACGAAACGACTATGCGGGGGTGAAAATTTAAAGGACGCATCAAAAATCAGATTGGCGTCGATGTGCAACACGACTTTACAGACAAGTTTAACATGTTCAATTCAGTTGTTGACAAGTTCTTCTTCTTTCGGTCTCCCAACTAACGCCACAGCTAAACAGCGCTTTTTTTGACTGGAAAAGAACTTTGTTGTTGTTGCCACCCAATTTTACCGGCAATCCTGGAGACGAAACTCTGCGTAAAACCACCAAGTTAAGGTTTCAGATTTGGTGATGTGCTAACCTCTGCTTTATATGAATTTTCTAAGTTTTCTAATTTAATTTGTATCTCCAAATTTTCGCTATTTTTCTGAAACAACCTTCACTTTTTATAGGGGGCAAGAACTCAAACAACTACCACTTTCTAGCCCTTGTCTCTTGACTATCGAAGGTAGGAGGTAAGGTAAGATATATGGAGCTATATGTGGATTTCACGCTGTCTACCTATCCGTGAGTAATCCCATCATCCTTTAAGAGCATATCGGGTGCGAACGAGAACCTGTACAAACCACATTTCCAGCTTTTTGTATGATCCTTGATGATCCCCGCGGCCGACCATCTTTTCTTCATTCATTTTTCTTCCTTCAAAGTTAACGAAAACCTTCCATAGTTGTACTAAT